GGTGGTGGTGGTGGTGGTGGTGGTGGTGGTGGTGGTGGTGGTGGTGGTGGTGGTGGTGCGGGGGTGGGTGGGGGCGCTGGGAAATAGCGATGGCGACCGCTTGGGCGAGGGGGAGTGTATGGGGAGGTAGTAGCGATGGCGATCGCTCGGGAGTGGGTAAGGAGGATGGTATAGAGGAGGGGGTGATGAGGCGGAGGATGAGGCTTATTCGACCAGAGAGCGGATGGAAGTGGTGGATTGGGTGAAGAGCATCAGGGAGGGGGAGGGTTGGGGAGGGGGGGGGAGTCGGAGGCGGTGGAGGGCAAAGCGATCTCGATCGCTGTGCGGTCATTGCCGCTAGCTTAGCCGTCCACTGGTTAGCCGTTGCTGGCTCTGGCGGGTGCGCGCGCCCCCGTTGCCGCCGCGCTAGCATCATGGCGGCCAGCGCGCTGGTGGAGCAGCTGGAGGCCGCCGCATCGTTCCTCACTCAGCTTGAGAAGGGGCGCGGCGGACACGTCACCGCGCGCGCGCATATGCAAAAACAAAGCGATGGGGATCGCTGGGCGGAGGTGAAGCGATGGCAATCGCTTGGGAAGGCGGGGGGCGATGGGGATCGCGGAGGTGTAGCGATGGCGATCGCTCGGGAGGGGGAGGAGGAGGATGACGAGCAAGCTGCTTTAACTGTTTTAACGCCGTTTTTGGCGCCAACTGCTTTAGCAGATTTAACGTCGTTTTGGGCGGACGGGGGGCAGTAGGAAGTGGAGGGGGAGAGCGATAGCGATCGCTGGGAGGGGACAGTAGGAAGTGGAGGAGGAGAGCGATAACGATCGCTGGGAGGACGAGGAGGATAGCGATAGCTTGTCCCTCTCGTCCATCAGCGCCGTCTCCCGTTTCAGCGCCGCGTCCCTCTCCTCGATCGCCTTCTTCAGCTCCACCTCCGCCTCATTCGTCGTCGCCGTCGTCGTCGACATCGTCGTCGTCGTCGTCGTCGCATCCCGCCTCGTCCAGCCATTGCGAGAACTGGCGGGCCCGCTCCGTCCTCCTCCCCTTCCTCCCCTTCCTCCCCTTCCTCCCCTTCCTCCCCTTCCCCCTCCTCCTCCTTCTCCCCTGCCTCCCGTCTTTCTCCTCCTCCTCTCTTTCCTCCCCTTCCTCCTCCTCCTCCTCCTCCTCCTCCTCCTCCTCCTCCTCCCCCCCCTCCTCCTCCTCCCCCTTCTCCCCTCATCCTCCTCCTCCCAGCGATCGTTATCGCTCCAGTTCTCGCAATGGCTGGACGAGGCGGGATGCGACGACGACGACGACGTCGACGACGACGGCGACGACGAATGAGGCGGAGGTGGAGCTGAAGAAGGCGACCGAGGAGAGGGACGCGGCGCTGAAGCGGGAGACGGCGCTGAGGGACGAGAGGGGCAAGCTGCTGACGGAGAAGGAGGAGAAGGCGAAGGCGAAGGCGGAGAAAAAGAAAAATAAAAAGGAGAAGAAGGAGAAGAAGGAGAGGGAGGCGGCGGCGAAGGAGGCGGAGGCAAAGGCCAAGGCGAAGCCGAAGGGCCGCGCGCGGGCAAAGGGCAAGACGTGAGCGCCGCGCCTCCTCCCTCCTCCCCCTCCCCCCTCCCCCCTCAAGCAACAGTTAGGAATACTTATAAGTAACTTATATGTGCCCCTTAAGTAACTTACAGCGCGTGCGCTATGGTTACTTATAAGTAACTTATATCTAACTCAGGTAAGTAGCGTAAGTACAACTAAGATACTTAGACTACATATAGCTAGGGTGCAAGTGCGCTTAAGATCTTGAAGCCTTTAAGCGTGCCTCGCCGATGTGCGGGTTCGCGCCCGCGCCTCCGCCCGCGCCCCAGGCGCCGCCACGCGGCTGTGAGCTCCGCCCCGGCTCCCCTTTCCCCGGCGGCTTCGGCTCGCGCCGCTCGCGCGTCTGGCGGTCCGCTCGAGACTCGGCCTGTGGAGTCGGGAATCTGCCGTCGGGCGCAGCAGGCGCGCTGTTTTGGCGCGTGCAAGTGGCAGGCGAGCCTCTGACCGTCGCCCGCTGGTTGCAGGACTGGGGCGGCGAGCTTCAGAGTGCTACGTCGCGGCTCCATTGGTTCGCGCCAGAGGGGCCCGCCGAGGCTGAGAGCTCCTCCTGCTCTGCCCTCCAGCAGCACCGCCACCAGTTCAAGACGGGCGGCTCGTGCCCCGGGGGGCACCCCGACGAACTGCTCCTTGTGAGCGCCGCTGTCACCTTTGGCCACCTGAAGGGAGAGGCCGTCGACTCCCTTACTCGGGGGGCCACGCGGAGGGTCGGGCTGGGGGGCAGCATTGCCCAGCGCCGACGGGCCGCGGCCATCGCCGCCGCTCTGGATTGCCCCGGCGCGCCAGTCTGCACGGGGCCACGTTCCCGTCATTGACTGGGGTCCGCACGGTGGGCCCTCCGAACTGCGGCGCGCTTTCGAGCGCGCGGCCCCGGTGGAGTCGCCCGCGGGCCTTCTCCCATCGGCGCGCGACGCGAGACGTCGCAAGCGATCGCGACCCTCCCGTGGCCAGTGGGGCTTCTGGACCCCTGCGACTGGTGGGGCCTCGAGGCGGGAGACGCGCTGCCGCCCGTGGCGGAGGCCTCTGCGCGCCGCGTCGCACTCGGGGCGGTCGCGTCGTCCACGACAGCGTGCGAGGCGCGGCTGCCCCCCCCGAGTCGCTTCCAGGCGGGGCCGGCCCGTGCGCGCCACCGGCAATCGCGCGGCGCAGCAGCGCCGCGTTGCCGTTGCGAGCGGGCGGGCTCTGCGGCGCGCGCGCGCGGCGTCTGAGCCTCGCGCGCAGGCGCCGCACCTGCCGCCGCAGCCGCCGCCGCGTCGGCGGCTGGCCCCCCTGCTGCGGCGAGACCGTGGCCTTGTTTTGCCCGCCCTCGCGCCGCCCGCGCTGCTTTGGCGCGAACTTCTCACCATGACCGCGCATCCGCACCATGATCGGCATTCGAAATCAGTCGACGCCTTCGAGCTCTGGCTCGTGGAGCACTCGCGCATTGCTCCTTCCACGCTGGCACTCGCGCATTGCTCCTTCCACGCTGGGCCGCAGTGGGCTTCTGCTCTTTCGCTTTCTCGCCATCTTCGGCGCGTGGCTTCGCGACGCGGGCGCCCCGCGCTGCACCTTGGTGCGCGCCGTTCTGGGCGTCCAAGCACCGCGCCCTCACTGGCGCGCGTTCCTTTTCGGAAGTCTGGGACGTGGCCAAGCGGCGGGGGCCTCGGCGCCCCCCGCGCTCCGCCCGCCGCTGCCCCGCGCCACGCTTCGGGAGATGGCCCACTAATGGCAGCCCCGTTGCAGATGTGTTCCACCTTGGTTCTTCGCCCTGGCGAACTTTCGGTCGCCCACCGCGGCGACCTCTCGCCGCCTGGCGATCGTTCGTGCTCTAGCGACGATGCCTCTCTTGCCGTCGAGGCGCCGATGGCCCGCCGCGCCTATCCGACGCCGCGCGCTCGCTGCCCCGATCAGCTTTTCTGCCCCGCCGATCCCGCGTCCCCCTTCGGGCGCCCGTGCTCGGTTGAATCGTTTGCTCGCGGCCATGGGCGCCCCGTTGTCTGGTGCGGCCCGCGGGCCGAACCTTGCGCCTGCCTGTTTGCGAGGTTCCAGGGCGACAGACGTCTATATGGCCACGACAGACGCCCCTCGCGTCTTTTGGCGCGGCCGATGGCGCCTGGCTTCAGCGCCGAGCGCGCTCCCCATGCCGCCGCTAATCTGTTCTGCCTGCCCTCCCCGCTGTAGCTCGCGCGCGCGTTTCGCGCGTCGCTGCCGCCGGCAACCGCCCCGTCGCCTCTTTCCTCGCCGGCCCCTCTGCGTGGTCAACGCAAGCTCCGGTCGTCCGCCGCATCCTCGTCGCTGCGCAAGGGCTTCGAGCACGGGCGCGGCTGCCGACGCTGTTCAGCGCCCAGGCGATCACCGCCTGAGCGGCTCTCGGCCCGCGCGCGCCCAGGGGGGGCCCGCGGCCACTTGCGCCCCCCCCCCCCCTCCGCCCGCGCGCGTCGGCCGCGCCCTCGCCCGTTCCGACAACCGCTCGTTGGCGCGGAAGCGTGGGGGTGGGGGCGCATTCTTATTATTCAGCGCCCAGATGATCATCGCCTGAGCGGCGCTCGGCTGGCGCGCGCCTGGGAGGGCCCGAGCCTCTTCTCCATCCCCCGCGCGCGCGCGTCGGCCGCGCCCTCGTGCGCTCTGGCGACCGAGCGCATGCGCGGGAGCGGGAGAATCATCATGGTCCTTGCGGCGATGATGTTGGTGCTGATGATGACGATGGTGATGGTGATGACGATGGTCATGCGGATGATGATGATGATGATGATGATGATGATGATGCTGATGATGATGATGATGATGGTGATGATGCTGGTGACGATGGTGATGTTGGCGGATCTTATGCTGATGATGTGGATGATCGTTGTGCGGCTGGTGCTGATAATGGCTATGTCGACGCTGATGGTGTTTTCGACGGTGGCGACGACGGCGATGACGACGATTATGATAATGGTGTTGCCGGTGCTGATGGTGATGGATGAAATTACTCAGGCGGCGATGCCGATTATGGCAATGATGACGAGAATTCGGATGCGAATGATAAACATGATGGTGATAGAGAATGTCATGAGGAAAAGGATAATGCGGAGCGGAAGGAGGTGGAGGCTGGTGTGGTGATGGTGATGATGCTGATGAAGCTGATTGTGGTGATGGTGGTGGGGATGATGTTCACGATGCGCACGATGATGACGAGGATGAGCAGGACTATGATGATGGTGAGGAAGAGGAATGCAAATGATGAGGCGAAACAGGAAGAGGAGGAAGAGGAGGAGGATGGTTATCTATGTCTGGTTCCTGCCCCCATGCCCCTCCTGCCACCACTCCTGTTCTTGTCCCCCCCCGTCCTCATGCCATGAGGCTCTTGCTACAGTTCGTATTCAGCCTTATTCCTCCTGCTCTTGCTCCTGTTCAAATCCTCGTGCTGTTGCTCCCGCTGCTCCTGATCATACGTTTCTCCCGGTGCCCCTTCCCCCGCCAAGGCCGCAAGGCGCCCCGGTCGTCCGCGCACCTGGCGTTCCACCTCGACTCGCGGTTCGCGTCTGGGGAGGTTTTCACCGCCCAGCCGTTGGGGTGCCTCTTTGCGCAGGCCGTCCGGGGGGAACCCGGATCCCGGATTCTTGGGCCGAGGCTCAGCCCAAGCCGCTCAGCCCAAGTAGCTCGACGCGAAGGGATCTGGGCTGAGCCGCTGAGCCCAGATCCCTTCGCGTCGTTGCCAAAAAACGCGGCGAACGATTTTTTTCGCTCGTTCTGGCGATGGGAGCCCTCACCGGGCTTCGGGGCTCTCAAGCAAACAAATTCAGAAGTAAAAACCGTTCCCCAGGAAAGGGTCCAGACCTTCTGGGGTATGGGAAGGAGTGCGATCAGGATGGGCTTAGGCCTCCACCGGGATGTCAATTTCAACTTGAGCATTGTTGTTTCATTTCGGCCCTCGGGGCGCGTTTTCGGGCCCAGGGCAATCAAAAACTGATCCGGGGCAGGGGTCGGGCGTTGCTAGGCCCGCGGGTTGAAAGAATCACGTCGGCGGATGTCAGGGGGGTGGCAGGGACCAGATGAGGAATCGACATCAGTTGCCGCTGCTCGTCCTGGAGGGCCCTCGTCGCCACAGCTGGACTCTTGTCGAGATTCTGGTCGGAGCGCACCCCCGGGCGAGGGCCAGGGAACGACGGTAGAGGTCACCCGTTTGCCCCCCGCACAATGGGAAGAGGGGCGGGGGAGGAGCAGCTGGATGATGATGAGGAGGAGGAGCGAGGAAGATGAGGAGGTGGTGGAGGAGCAAGGGGAGGAGGAGGGGGACGAGGAGGAAGAGGAGCAGGGGTAGGGAGGATTGAGGAGGAGAAGAAGGAACACGAAAAGGAGGAGGAAGAGGAGCAGGAGGAGGAGGAGGAGGAGGAGCAGGAGGAGGAGGAGCAGCAGTGAGCACATGAGGCGACGCACCGAGTCGAAAGAGGGGAGCAGGCGAGAGCGAATGGGAACGGTGAGAATGCTCAGCCGCACACGTGACTGAGGTGAGGCGACACGCGAGTGCCCAGCAAAGCTTCACGGCAGCGAGGAGGCTTGACCACCGCTGGCCAGGACATACGGAGCCAGGAGGGGGATCAATGCCCACACCGCCGAGGAGCAACCCGATAGCGGTGGCGTAACACTTGTTAACAACATTGTAATCAGTGTGCCACATCATGCGTTTTTTTGTATTTAAATATAAGAACGTATGTAAGATGGTTGCAAATTTAAAATAATGAATGGGAGACATATTTCAGATGTCAATTTTGCATCTCCACCTATCAAGGGCACTCGTCACACGTCAATGACAGAAACGATTCACTAACAGCTGACAGCAGCCCTAGCCACTGGCACGCGGGATCCGCGACAGTGAGCCTGCGGGGCGTGGGCATTGGGTACTCTCGACTCGGGATGACGGCCCGAAGCGACATTATTTTTGGACTATGTTTGAGTATTTGTTGACCTGTTTTGATTTGTTCGTCCAAACTCCGCCTGTAGGAGGCCATGCTCGACCTAATCTTAGGATGACGGCCCGAAGCGAAGTTATCTTGGCGCCACTTGCGTTGGGAATTATCATGGATGGCTTGCGGGTCGCACTCATCGTGGAGCTGGGACCTCACCGCACGCTCCAAAAAAAGCCACACTTCGTGCAACTAGTGACCTGTCCAGCTCTGCGCAGAATGTGGCCTCTTGCGGCCTCGAGCGGGCCGGGCCCCTCCGCGGGGAGCACCATGCTGGTACCACCATGGGCCAGGGACGAGGGCGCTTCTTCGAGCCACTGGCCTCGACGTTCGTCGCTTCGTTGAGGCCGGCCTGAGGGCGCGACACGATTCGCATCTTAGGCTTCACCTGCTTCATGAAAGGCTACGCCACCTCGTCCAAGGGCCTGGATCAAGGGTGAGAATGAGGCCGAGGGAGAGAATGAAGTGGCAGGCCCACAGGAGGAGCATCAGCAACATCAGGGAGGCTCGAGGCGGCGGAGTCCGAGGGAAGCTCAAACCTGGGACGCACGGCTCGGGCCCCAGTGATTTCCTCATCCCTATCCCTCTTAAGGCCTTGGGGTCCTTCTTGGCTGCTCAGCTCCGTGGTGGGGGGCGGAACTCACTAATCAGAACGAGGCACTTATTGGCCGTCAGTGTCTCACGTCCAGATGCTATTCGCGCCAAGCGCGTGCAATGTATACATTCATTCCAAGTGCGGGAGAGCTCATGGTATCTCTAACTCGCTGCCGGCATTGGGTGCGGCCGACGCGGCCTCGGCTGCCCATGTCGACGGCGTTGATCTCGCCGAGGTCTATGGGCTGGCTGTGGGCTCCTGTCGGGGGTGGCCACCTCGATAAGCTCCTAGGAGTTGCTGATCCAGGCAACAATCTTCCTGACCTTGTCAAAGAGCGCGGCGTGGATCTCCCGCGTCTGTTGTTGCAGGTCGTGTTTGGCTAGGTATATCTTGGCCGCGATGTCCGCATAGTCGTTGTCTTTTCTTCTCACATGCGTTCTCGGCTGCGATCTGTGTCTGGTGGCTTTTCACGGACTTGATGGTGAGCATATTCGGCAGGCGTTTATGATTGTAGCGCATGCCGTCGAGCTCTCCACATGTCAACACTCGGCCTCCTCGCGTGTAGGCACCACCCCTTGCCATGGCTGATGCCCCCGATCGTCGACATGCAATCTGAATATAGGTGCAGAGTCAGGACGCTGTTTTTGAGGGCCATTGACACTACGAACATCTCCGCGCGCTGTACCTGATGAAGAGCGCCATGGAGTGGTCCATAGGCGAAGCCCTTCAGCTGTCTCCCCTGCATCATGGCTAGCCCCCATCCAGCTCTCGACGCGGCATCCAATCAGTGTACGCCCAGCTCCATCTGTGTATACATCTCCTGTGATGGTCGCGCTCTGGCCGCACACTGGTGGGAGCCCTGGTAGGGAATAGCGAGGTAGAGGAGCACGTGTGTACAGCGTATCGTTGACTGAGGCCGGCGCAGCTTGGTCGATGATGCTTTGCTCCACTGCTTCCACACGCACTTCCGCTAAGTTGGGGCGGCTCCACAAGCGATGATGGAGAGTCCCTGGGCAAGTCAAGCAATGTTGGCAATCTCCATCATCCGCAAACCTATGTTTGTGTACTCTAGCTCTCCAGCTTGCGACCACTGCCCACCTGTGACGGTGGACCCGAGTGCAGCTCTCGCACGCACTGATATTCTCCACTTTTTTGCGTGCTCCTCTGTGCCAGCAAGAGTTGCACCGCTGCCAGCCAGTATCCACAAGGTTGTCTCGATGGCGGAGTGGTCTCATGAGCATGGTCCTGCCGAGTTGCCCGTTCTTCCCACTTCAAGTTGATAAACGACCTCCTCGCTTGTATCCGAACTCAATCTGGAGAATCTGAGTTCAGGTCCAGCTTGATACTGTTGGCGGTCACCCAGGCGATCGGCGAGATCACTCTCCACATCGGCTGTTGAAGTATGCGCCACACTGCACCTGCTGGACGCCCGACATCTCAGGATCATCGCCAAGACGTTGTTGTTGTCGGTAGAATGCCTTCGCCTGAATCTCGTGCTGCATTGTTTGGTCCTCCACCATCTGGGCCCACGTGCAGATTGGCCCAGCTACTACGAATATGTCTAGATGCTGATCTCGTTGAGGCTCGAGCTGCGAGGCAAGCCACTTTGATGTGGCTCGTGGGGTGCGCTCTATCCAACGCAACTCGTCTTGGTAATATCGCGCAGCATGCTCTTCGAATCTCCGATGACCTGGACCCCGTGCAAGAGCGAGGACCAACACATGGTTGCGAAACCCCACGTCCAATCCGAGCGAAAGGTGCCATCGTCTAGATCGTCGAAGTCGCTTTCTCATTTTGCTAATTTTCTACTAAATTCCACTGTATTTCAGCTTGGCTCCCGCTCTAGCCTCAATGCCCAGGATCTCAGTGGCCGTGTAAGCTTTGAAACCGTGATGTCGCACTTGCCTTACCACGCTTTGTGCCAGGTCGAAAGTCGAACAATGACGCTATGAACTTTACTTTGTCACTTGCGAAATGTAGATCCAGTGCTCGAAGTATCGTTGCAACCCTTCGGAGGATGCGAACTGACTGATCCACCCAAGTCTCGACTTCATCGTCCACCTGCGATGCGATGTCTTTATCAGATATGTCCTGCGAGCGGTGCGCACGATCCCGCCTCAAGACACTTCTCGAACATATCAGACGGTAGCATCATCACCAAGCGCAGTAGGTACCTTGCCACCGACCACTTCGGGCGTCGTGCATCTCCAGACGCATCTTGAGCACGGCCGTCGGGAGAACAAAGCGCGCTGGCGCTTGAAACACCCTCCCCTTCACGCTCGTTAGAGGCACTGGCTGATGCCAATCCGTGTTGTGACGACCGCCGTGGCTTGAACAGCTGGATTGAGCTCCCATAGCCAACGCCGATCTCTCAACTCCAAGCGCGAAGTAGGGCGGGGTAGTCTGGGAAACCCAAGCTCTGACGCGTCCAATCTTCATGCTGGTGCATACTCTGTGCATCGATGGCGACAGCGCTATTGCCCGAACGCCCGTTGTGGTCTGGCTAGCAACATCACTTGGACCATGAGCATGGCGGTGGGCCATCGCGTCCATGCAGCCCAGAAAGGTGCAGCAACATGGCGATACCATAATCGGACTGCAACGACCAATCGCGAGGTGACAGCCCATCGTGTACAAGTCCTGGTCTCCATCTGAAGGTCTTTGCTGCCTTCCTGAGTGCCTCGACCTTTGGAGTGGGAAGGGTGTCCTCTAGCAGGCTGGATATATCACTCATGATGTCCTGATCCAGGCCTTCCACGAGGTGGTCCATCATGTTCGGGTCGGTCTGCTCGTCCTTGTCCTCCTGACTGCGGTGCTGGTCGGCATGGTTCTTGTCTGCCTTTCTGGAAACAGGCGTGCCTTCCCATCTGCCGTTCCACATGTCCTTCTGCTTGTCAGCGATGGCCTGGTGATGGACGTCGCAATCCGAACTAGACTCCATGTACGCAGAACCAAATAACATCCATCATGGCAGCTCTGCGTCGACGTGCACTCTGACAGATCAGGACAGGCACTACAATCTCGAAGCCA